GCGACATCAACTGTCTAGGGCTCTAGTTATCTTCGCGTCCGAAAGGCTCTCGCGAACAGGCCCAGTTGCCCCGCGCCGTTCAGAGGGTGCACGACTGGGCGACGAGCGTCATCGCTGACCTGCCGTCGCGCACGTTCCCGCTCATAGCTTCTGATGCTAGTGATGGGCTCGGGTAGGCTTCTGGGCATGGTCCGACTGTCGTGGACTCTTCCGCCGTTGGTTCTCATGGGCTCAGCATTGAACACCAAGCTGTCAAGGCGATGCGAGAGTTGGCAGGACATTGTGAGTTGGCGGCTGTAGATACTTCTCATCTTTGTGGCCCTTCGTATTATGGTGATCCTGTCACGGCGCGTGAAGCTGTTCAACCAACAACTCGCGCGCAAAGAAGCAATCGTTGCCGCGACTCTTATCGGACCAGCGCGCCACAGTGGCTGCTCTACTTCGGCCCAAGTTTCAGCAGGATGTTTCGTGGATACATCGCGTCTTCACTCCGCACTCACATGCGCCTCTAGTTCGCCGATGTTTGCTTCTATGTCGGTCCGCTCGTCGCTTGCAAGCTATCCCAGATAGTCGACCACGCGACCACCTGCCGTCAATTCTGGAGCTGGACTTCAGGCCGTGCAAGACTGATCGCGAGCATCGTCGGCGCTGGGACTACGCGGGGCTCGGCCAGGCGCCTCGCTCGGAGTTCTTCGCAACTTTTCGCCAGAAGGTCGAGCGGGCCATCCGCGATCTCATGAGGTCCACGGGGGTTCCACTGTTGAGGCGTCGGGGGCTCTGGAGGATGCCTGGGCTCTCTTGGTGGGAGTGCTTCAAGATATAGGCTTGGACACTTTCGAGGCTGCGCCATCTGCGACGCCCGCTGCGCACTAGAAATTTGCACAGAAGCGGAAAGCTGCCTAACCTGAATACGACCGCGCTCGTGCTGCCATGACGGGCGAGATGGAAGCGGTTCTATATTTGCTTCATTATTCGTACGTGTCGGGCGATGCGTCGGGAGCTTCATGGACTCCGTGAGTCGCAACTTGCTGAAGAGCTAGCGGATGCTCAAGCTCGTGGGCTAGCTAGTGAGTGAAGGGTGGCGTAGCTGTCGATTGATGGCTGGGGCTGGGGCCAGACCTCGTCGGCGCAAGTTCGGTCGCACTCCTGGTCTGAGGTGAGCGTTGCCAGTGACGTCCGCGGAGGCAACGCCCCCCACCATCCCGCTGCCGTGCACTCCCCTGTGCTGGCCTGGGTCGTGGGGGCCCTCCCCTCCCCCCCCTAATTCGGCGCAGGTGGCCTGTCCTGGGCACGGCGCGTCGGCGCCCGGTCAGCTCGGTCAGCGCCCGCTGGACAACAAATATGTTCGGTCGCATTTCGGCGCGCGCACCTAGTTTGGACGAGTGGAACGGGGATCTCGCGATGCCGTCCAGCAGGGGGGGTGTCTGCCGAGCCGATATCTGATGAGGCCTTCCTGCTAGGCGTTTCCCGCTTCGACTCGACTGAACCCCGAGCAACGGCGACGTCGACTGGGCCATTGAGGACCTCCTTGGGGTCCCAAATGGCATTCGCGCGGCGGCCCGACGGCGGGCTGCAGTAAATTTGGAGTCTACCCCAACGAGGTTTGGGCGTTGGTTGTGGCTCGGAGGCTTGAAATTCGGGATCTCGCCACTGGTCTTGAGGCGGATGCGCTTTCTGGCCGTGGGGAGCTACTTGGGAGATGGGTCACTGGCACCCTGGCTACAGTCAGGCAGCACGGGAGGCTCGTAGCCCAGTGGAACGTGTCATGCATGTACCAGCTCCCCGAAGACAATGGCAAAGTTCGAACCCAAGGGACTGGGCAAGGCCGCGCGCACCACGGCTGCACTTTCTGTTGGGGTTCGGAAGGCACGGTTGCCCACCATCGACATTAATCGCGACGCGAGGAACGCATTCGGTTCAGTTTGCCGCGCCGCGCTCGACTCGGCCGCCGCGAGGCTATGCTTTCCAGCCGATGCTGATGTTCTTAGGCTGGTGGTCGTTTTTCACGCCGACGGTTTCTTGGGCTTCTGAGGCCGGTTACCTCGAGATGCGCTGCAGTGTTCCGAGGTTGGGCCCATGTGCGGCGTTTCTGGTCTCAGTGTACTTCGTGGCGGGCCAAAAAGTTTGCCTTTCGGAGCAACATCATCGGCGCCGCTGTCTCGGGATTGACTGCGTGCGCGCTGTCTGCCTCGCGGGGGGCTCGTCTCGATTCGGCTTGTCTTCGCTATCTCAGGGCGCTGCTAGGTGGCGTCGCCGTGTCCGTGCCTGCGCTGGGCGATGGCGGACGTGAGACTGTCGCGATGCGCGCCCCTCCTGCCGCTCTGCCCCGGCGCCGCGCCGTCGCCCCTGCAGGTCTAGCGTCGAGAGCGCAGCGTCTCAACGAATTGCAGAAAATCCTTCGTTCCCCCGGCTGGAACACAAGAAGCCTTTGGACCTGCTCTTTGGACCTCAAGAAGCCCGTTGAGTCGCCATTTCCTTGGCTCACCAGCAGCGCCCCGAGATCCGCACATGCGCCCCGAACGAACTCTTTGGCAAAGCAGATTCCAGGACCTGGAGCATTCGAGGTGCGCGGAGGAGGGGGGGGGGGGGGGGGGGGCGGTGGTGGAGGCTGCCGCAGAGGATTGTCTCAGTATTTTACGCGGTCAGTCCGACGCCTTCGAGGCCTCTCAGAGATTTGATCTCCAGCAGTATCGACAGGAATGGCTCCTACGAGACGAGGGGCCTGGGCTGATCACTCCCGAACCTGGTAAGTTCACTGCGGGTGATCGTGCGTGTGTGCTGTGATCATGTGCGCGCTCCCCCTTCTGATGATGGGCTAGGTTAGTGCGCGAGCGTCGCTTCCTGACTCGTCGCGCCCTGCTCGCTTATCAGCGACGGGCCTCTGGAGGCCAGGGTGGCCTGCCCAGTGTGATATCCAACTTGCGGTTACCAACCAATGTTTTGCGTGCTCATCCACGCTTCGATCGAGAGGCACGGCTGTCCGTCATTGGGTGAAAGCTTATCTTTATGGGAGATGTCGCGTGGACTCGTCGCAGTAGGGCCCCCCGATCGTTGACCATGAGGTGCGAGCGCATCCCGTCTGTCATGCGCCTCTTCGTTCTCGCGAGCTGTTGCAGCGGCGCCTGGCATCTCACTTGCCATTGCCCGTGCCAGCGTTCGCGCGGCATGCTCTCGGCGGCCCCTGTCGCGATTTCGCCGGCGCCGAACGGAGGGGCAGGAGCGCGCCGAGGGCAGGCCGCCGCCGCAGACGAGCCCGCGCGCAAGCGCGTCGCCCAGCGCCAGAAGTCCAACAAGAAGATATCGAAGGAGGAGATGGAGGGGCTCGACCGCGTGGGTTTGAACGAAGACAAGCGGGCCGCGCCGGTCCTGATAGACCCGTTGCTCACATGTCACTATGTGCCAGCGCCAGCAGGAGGCCATCACCCTCGTCGCGATCCTGATGGTCGAAGGCGCTGCGCTGGTTCAGAAGGCGCGCGCGCGGGTGCGCGGGCGGGTAGGATCTGCTCGGGACTTGAGGGCCAGGGGGAAAGACGCGGACGTGAGGGCCACGGAGGCGATCTCTTGTGCCGCGCACGTCGGGCTCGTCGAGGGCGGGCCCGAAGCGGGCGCGGCGCTGGGCGCCGGGGGCCAGCGGGCCCTCAGCCACTGGCGCGACGAAGTGAAGGCCCTCGACCTTGCCGCTGTGGCGGCACGCTTCCCGTTCGTGAAGGTCCAGAGCGCGCGCGAGCTTGAGAAGGTGAAGATCCTGCTCGTCGACGAGCCCTTCGCTCAAGGCGTTGACCGATTTCTTAGAGCAGCTGGGGGCGGTGAAAAAAAGTTTGACTTAGAATGTATTATTCAGATGTTTCTGAGCGCGGACGACATGGAGTGAATGCTCATGGTGGGAGATTTGATTCGCGCGATTTGGATGCTGCGTTTCAGGCTGATGCGATATCTGCTGACGCTCGGGAGCAGCAGCCTGCTCGTGTCCAGCGTGGATTTCAGGCTGATGTGACGTCAGCTGATGTTCGGGAGCAGCAGCCTGTTCGTGTTCAGCATGGGTCGTGGGATCAATCCTCGGCGACGGCGGATTCGATGTGGCCTTCTGCTACGGTTTCGACCGAGGCCTGCCTGTCTGATTCCGTCGAGGTCGCCTTTCCTCTTCCCCCTTTGCCTTCGTCATCTGAGGCTCGTCGTCGCACGTCGCGGTCGCCCCTTCTCCGCCGCGCAAGTGCCCTCGTAGCGAGCTCGGCACTGCCGGAGTTTTCCGTGACGCTTGTTCTGGGCCGAGATTAGCGGGGTCTGCGGCCCGTCTCTTGGGGTTTAGAAGCTCGTTTTCGGATGAAACTCGGGGTTTTAAAAGCTCTTTGAGTTGCGGGCGGGCTGGAGACCCAAAGCTCGCGGCAGTTATGTCGGCCGTCGGGCAAACCGTCATCGTGGATGTCACCCCGTATCTGTTTGTCCTCCTTTTTCTCCTTGTCCTCCCTCTTACGTCTTGTTTCCCCCCCCCCCCGCGCGCGAGGCGGGAGGAGGGAACAGGGAAAAGGGCAGGGCAAGGAGGTGACGACGTCCGATGTCCTACTCATCCTCGTCTTCGTCATCCTCTCCAGCCAGTGTGCATTGTCTTGTAGTCCCTCCCTTCTAGCCGCAGCAAAGGAAACAGACGAGGCAAGAGAGAATCATAGAGACGGGAAGCTAACGATATGGTGAAGCCCACATCCACTGTAATTATGGCCGGTGGCGGCGAAGGAAGAAGACAGGGTGAAACGCAGAGGCATAAAGATGATCGCGCGGTGGCGAAGAGCACCAGTAAAGTAGTCCAGGTGGGCAGGGGAGTGTTATAGCAGAGTCGTGCCGAGGCAACGTTAGCATGTTGTTGATTACGCGTTTCACATTCAGCACATCATCACGAACGCATGTCTTGCGTAATCCCTCCCCCTCGTTGGCCCACCAACAAGTGAACGTTTTCCTCCCAAACATCGATTACCGCGCAACTTGCAATAGTGTCGAAGTCCGCACAGGCCGACCAGGACCAGCAGGGGCTGAAGGAGCAGGGCGAGCACGACAACGCGAGGCAGGAGGACCAGACTGTTCCTCAGGAGAGGAAAGAATGGGAGTCTAGGCCCCCCAATTGCGGTCCGAGCATATGGGGAAGGACAGCGCCGTATCGCCGATGCATCGCCGGTGCAGCTCGATGTGTAGCCTGATTTGCTCCGCGCTGGCGTCGCCGATACCCCCCTACGTTGTCGATGCATCGCCGATGGATCGACGATGCGGCGCGGAGGCTTCTAGGGAGGCGGGATGGGAGAGGGGAGGGCGAGAACGAAGGGCAGTGGGGGCGGGGGGGGGACGGCGAGAACGATGGGGGAGGGGAGGCGGGGGGGGGGACGGGAGGCCAGTATCGGTGCATGTGCATAGCCCCCCCTCGCGCGCAGCGGCTCGGGTCGGAGAGCAGCGGGGTCACCACGGGGCGGCGCGGGTGGAAACCGCGCCTCCGCGCCTCGCGCGGCGCGGGGCGCGGAGGTCGGCGGGTCCCACTCGCGCCCCGATGGGCTCATGCGGGACAGCCCCGCGGATGGCCCCGCGGCACGCTCGGTGGGCCCTCGATTGGGGGGGCCCCCCATCAAGGGCCCATCGAGGCACCCTCCTCCTCCTCCTCCCTCCCCCTCCTCCTCCTCCTCCTCCTCCTCCCTCCTCCTCCTCCTCCTCCTCCCTCCTCTCCTCCTCCTCCTCCCTCCCTCCTCCCCTCCTCCTCCCTCCTCCTCCTCCTCGTCCTCCCTCCTCCTCCTCCTCCTCCTCCTCCCTCCTCCTCCTCCTCCTCCTCCTCCTCCCTCCTCCTCCTCCTCCTCCTCCTCCTCCTCCTCCTCCTCCTCCTCCTCCCTCCTCCTCCTGCTGCTCCTCCTCCTCCTCCTCCTCCTCGCTCGATGGGCCCACTTGCGGTGTCCTCGGATCAAGAGCTGCGGCGCACGCCGCACGAGGCGGCGCACGGGCCAGAGTGCTTACGGCTCGGGCGCACTCTGCACGGATGCCCCCCCCGGCCGTGCATCATCCATTGCTCTGATTGGTGGTCCAATCGCGAGTTTTTTCCCTCTGGGAGTTTGCTGCTCGTCCTCCTCCTCCTCCTCCTCCTCCTCCTCCTCCTCCTCCTCCTCCTCCTGTTCCTCCTCCGCCTACTCCTCCTTCTCCTCCTCCTCCTCCTCCTCCTTGTCCTCCTCCTTCTCCTCCTCCTCCTCCTCCTCCTCCTCCTCCTCCTCCTCCTCCCTCCTCTGGCCACCCCTCGAATAATGTACGTAGCACCCCGCACTTGCGGATAAGAGTGGGGGGGCGGGCGCGGGCGACGCGGGCGTCGAGCCGGCGGACCTCGTGGCCTTCACCTTGCTTGTCGGACGAACATTTTGATTTGTACACTGAACGCGATTGGGGTCGCAGGTTCTCCACCTGGAACGAATGCAAAAGAAACCCGCCGCAGGCGCAAGTTTTGGCTTGTTCAGTCAACGTAGTTTGGGTCGCGGGTGGGTCGCGGGCTCTCCACCTCCACTTGGAAGGAATTCAAGAACAGCCCGCCGTAGGCGCCAAAAATTTGGGTTTGTACACTGAACGCGGTTTGGGTCGCGGGTGGGTGGCAGGTTCTCCACCTGGAACGTCCGAATGCAAAAGAAGCCCGCCGCAGGCGCCGAAAATTTTGGGTGGGTCGCGGGGTGGGTCGCGGGTGGGTCGCGGGGGGTCGCGGGTGGGTCGCGGGCGCGGTTTGGGTCGCGGGTGGGTCGCAGGTTCTCCATTTGGAACGAATGCAAAAGAAACCCGCCGCAGGCGCCGAACATTTTGTGTGGGTCGCGGGGTGGGTCGCGGGTGGGTCGCGGTGGGTCGCGGTTGGGTCGCGGGTGGGTCGCGGGTGGGTCGCGGGGTGGGTCGCGGGTGGGTCGCGGGTGGGTCGCCGGTGGGTCGCGGGGTGAGTCGCGGGGGGGGTGTCGGGGTGGGTCGCGGGCGGGTCGCGGGGTGGGTCGCGGGTGGGTCGCGGGTGGGTCGCGGGTGGGTCGAGGGGTGGGTCGCGGGTGGGTCGCGGGGTGGGTCGCGGGTGGGTCGCGGGTGGGTCGCGGGGTGGGTCGCGGTTGGGTCGCGGGGTGTGTCGCGGGTGGGTCGCGGGGCGGGTCGCGGGTGGGACGACGACAACAACAAACAACAAGCAACAAACAACAAACAACAAACAACAACAAGAATCCGCATCGCGGAATTCCATTTCAGCCACGCACCCAGGGACAGTGAATGACCGTTCGGTTCAGCCCCCTCACTCTGACATGAGCCTTCGGAGATCCCCGCGGATCTCTTGGGCTGGGAATTTGTGGAGCCCCCCCGCCCAAATCCAAAGCCAGACCAACACCCAAACCAAAACCCAAAACCCAAAACCCAACATCCAAATCTGCAAAAACGCAAAATCCAAGATCCAAACCCAAAACCCACACCCAAACCCAACAACAACAACCCAAACCCAGGGTGCCAAATTCTGGGTGGGGGGCACGAGGGCAAGTTGTAAGTATCGTCTCCCATGCCAGTTGCTGATGTTCTACTCTTGCCGAGCGATGGCCCACGTTGTTGATGGAAGGCCACCTTTGCTGACCCCTGCTGGGGGGGTGGCACGTGGATCCCCAGAGGGAGCCACGATGCAGAGAGGCCGGCGTCAACTCGCACAAGTGGGTCCAACTTGGACAGCTCAAGCAGAGGGGACCGCGACCGTCAGAGAGCGGCCCAGGGGCCCAGGCGGCGCGCCGGGGCTGCCATCCAGAGAGGCCAGCCTTGCGCGCGCCAAGACCTACCCGCAGCTCACCCACATCATCCGTCAGGGAGTGGGCTGGCGGATGGGCGCTAATGGGGCCGGAGGATCGCGCCGCATCGCCGACGTATCGGCGGCGCGGCTCGATGTGAACCTCGGTTTTCGGCGCGTTGGCGTCGCCGATGCATCTCCAACGTCGCCGATGCATCCCCGATGCATCGCCCATGTGTCGCCGATGCGGCGCGATCCTTCGACCGCATCTAGGATGGGAAGCCACTCAAAGTACATCCCGACACCATGAGACACATCGAAACTCTTGCGACTGAATCGTTAGCACGGGCGGCAAGTTTACGGAGCACCAGCAAAGATTTGGAGCGGGCCCGCAAAGTATGTAATGGAGACCTGGGGGTCATCAGACGACAGTCATCTACCGAAAGGGAGCCTCTGTTCCTAGACACCGAGACGCTGCCAGAGGACAGCGCGATCTCGTTCACCATCCCGGCTAGCACGGCGGTGAAGGAAGGAAAAGAGATCACCCACAAGAAGATGATCGTAGTTCAGAAGAAATTAGATTTGATGACCATGGAGGTTCAACACACATGGCTACGATGTTTTACCAAAAGAGCGAATTGTGTGTGTGTGTGTGTGGAAAGATGCATCGGGTACAACAGACCACAAAAGCGTGTGGCAACCACTCGGCTTGGAGCTCGATGGGAATGACCCACCCTACTGCCCAGTGGAGAAAAGCAAGATACACATTTTCTTCTGATGCTCCCCGTCTTCTGAGAATGGGAGGGAGCGGGAATGTCCAAATCTTTGTGAACCGCCGAGGATGGATCAGGGATTCCCGTCCCTCGTCTCGCATTCACGGTAGGCGCGCAGCATGTGTTGCATGAGCTGTTTGGCTCCAACATACATACAGGACATAGTTCATTAAACATGCACTGTCCACATGGAGGTAGGATGGGGTAGGTTGCGGCCCAAACCCAAAGCCAAATGGCGACAGAAACCGATTAGGCCTCCTGAGTTCAAATGGGTTCTTCGCTCCTCACACACGAGGCTCATACGTCAGTATGTTGTTTCAAGTGTCATTCTTCGTTGTACACTGCATGTCCTCAACATGTGGCCCAACTCGCTTGGGCGGCAAGGCTTGTCCCAAGGTGCTAAATTCCCCGGGGGGGGGGGTACGAGGGCATACATGTAAATGTCGTATCATCTGCCATTTGCAGGTTCTCATCCGCTGGTCGCCCGTGGGAGCCTTGCGGGTGCTTGTAGCGGGCACCACGTAGTTCATCAGACGAGGCAGAAGCACCAATATTTCTACCCTTGCCTCGTTTTCGCTTTGGGGACCTCCTGCGAGGCCAACAGGATCGCACTAGGATCCCAACAAGACCCCAATCGGATTCCAACAGGCTTCCACTAGGATTACATTGCTGATGATGCCCATGGTTGATGCTGCCCACTGCTGACGATGCCCATTCCAACAACCTGCCACTGGGATCTCATTGCTACGGTGGTAAGGATCCTGCCATGGCTGATGATGCCATGCGTTGATTTAGGCTCCTGACGTTCAAAGGCTGCCAACGACGGGGATTTCTGACCACTGGAACGGAGGGGAAGGAGAAGGAGCAGGAAAAGGATGAGGGGGAGAGCGGAGGATGGTGGAGGAGGGCGGATGGCGACGACCATGAAGGTAAAAAGGAGGAGGAGGAAGCCGTATTGGTTCTGCGTCTTACAGCCTGGACGGAAGCATGGGAGGATGGGAGTGAAGGAGAGAGGCAGAGGTAGCGAAGACAGGCCGAGGAAGTGGGGCCTGGATGGAGGAGGGAGGGGGGGACGATGACGAGGAGTGAGGGGACGACGACGACGACGACGACGACGACGACGACGACGACGACAAGGAGACGACGACGAGGAGGCGACGACGAGGAGAAAAAGAGAGGAGGAGGACCAGGAGAGGGAGGAGAGACCAGTGTAAACCCAAGACTCGTCAACGATGTTGGAATACGCCCTTCCTCCAAGCTCTCTCTCAATGTTCATGTTCTTTGAGAGAACTGCCCCGTTGGGGGACAACCGTGCGAAAGTCCTTAAGCGTCCCAAAACAACATTCTCAGTACTTCAACGCCACGAATCAACCTGATTGCTGCGTCTTGATGATCCTGACTCGTGCCAGAAAACCAGTCCTGGGACTTCAACGCCGCTAATCAACGTAACTGTTGCGCCCTGACAGTCCTGAGTCGTTCCGAAACACCGTTCTTGGTACGCTAATCATGGGAATCAACAAAATGCTCGCAAGCGCTAAAAACGAATATGCTCGGCGCCAGGGCGAGAGCCACATGCTGAAAACGGCCCGCCCTCAATCCATGAAACTTCCGCAACTGACTAAAACGAATGTGCGCGGCACTTAGGTGAGAGCCACATGTTGAAACAACCCGCCCTTACTGCGTGAATGTCTTGCGGACGTTTCAAACAAATACGCGCGGCGCTGATGCGACAGCCACATTTTTTAAGTGACCCTCAATTCGCGAAACCCTTGCAGATGTGTCAGACGAATGTGCGCGGCGCTGAGGCGAGAGCCACAGTTTGTAAACCCACGCCCTCCATGTGTGAAACTGTTGCCAGTGTTTAGGCTTCAGGCTCGTAAATGGTAAGGAAGTCTAAGACTAAACGCCCGGCGCGCCCTCCCGATTGGCTTCGGGGTGCGACAGGGGGGAGTTATTCATCAGGACAATGTATGGAGTAGGAGGCTGAGGGTGGAGGTTAGAAGGATTAGGAGCAGGAGATGAGAGGGGAGGAGGAGGAGGAGGAGGAGGAGGAGGAGGAGGAGGAGGAGGAGGAGTTGGAGTGTGAGGAGGAGTTGGAGTTGGAGGAGGAGGAGGAGGAGGAGGAGGAGAGGAGGAGGAGGAGGAGGAGGAGGAGGAGGAGGAGAAGGGGGAGGGACGGGGTGGATGAAGAGGAGAGAGGGACGGGCCTGGAGGAGGAGTCCAAAGGTGCAGAATGGAGGGGGCGGGAGGAGCGACGAGGGCGTAGGAGGCGAGGCGAGGTGAAATTTGGCGAGGCGATGGGAAGGAGGGGGAAAAGGAATGGAGAAATCAGGACGAACTCCACCCGCCCATCCTCCTTGCTCTCATCTAGTCCCACCTCTTTCGTATCATGTCAGCCGCTCATCTCCCTTGATTCCCCGACATGGCCCGCCCTCCGCTTGTTGCCCCAAACCTGTTTTCCCGCCTCCACCACCTCGTAAGGCCATCTATTTGGCCCTTCCCACATCCACCTCTCCCCTCTACCCCAGCCCCATCCACCATTGTCTCCCTCCATACCCCCTCCCTCAAGTCTTTTAAACGTCACTGTCTACCGTCGCTTCCGATCGATCTTTTGTTGCATGGCTTGAAGAACTTCTCCGAAAGGTGGCCTCTACCATCGGCCTTGGGGCATGTGAGCGCCCCACGCCAAAGGCTCGAGAAACTGGTATACGTACATCGGCACGCAGGAAGATACAAATTTGGTGAACGATGTACCTCCCCCCTTTCCTTCCTCCCGCCTCCATCCGCCTCTCGTCGCGTCCCCCATGGAGCCGAGCCCAGGACGAGCAGGAGCTGCAGCGCCTGGAGCAGGAGAGGCGCGAGCAGGAGTAGCCCCCACCTCCCGAGCTGCGGAGGGAGGACGAGGCAGCCATAAAAGGAAAGGGCAAACGTGCAATCGGAGAGAAGAAAGCTCCTGGCCAAACGTCAGCAGTTCGTGGAGGGGCGAAGGGGGAGGAGCACAGCAACGGGACCGAGGGGAGGGGATGGGCAGGGGAGAGGGCAGGCGGCGCAGGGGGTAACGGGGGTGGGGGTGGGGGGGGGGTAGCGGGGATAGGGGGTGGAAGGGGGGGGGGGGGCACGAGGGAGACCAGCAGCGCTCTTCCGTGAGGGCCCCGGGGGCCGGAAGCGTGGCGGAGACGCTCGTGCCGAGTTCGTCCACGACATTTGGACGCCGGAGCAGGAGTTGCCCCGTGGCGGACGCGCAACCGAGCCAGCGAACGAGCGCGCAAGTGGACGAACGAGCGGGCAACAGAGGGGGGAGAAGGAAGAGGAGGAGGAGCAAACGAGCGGTGGGATGGATGAGCGCTCGAACGAGCGTCGAAGAGGGAAGAACGGCAAAAACATGTGTGTTGTCGGAGGTGCGCGCGGATTTTTGGATCGGCGTTGGGCCCCCTTGCCAGCGCCTCCCGCGTCACCCCTGGCGCTTGGGAGGTGGGTCCCAGCGCAGATCCAAGAGATCCGCAAGGGCCTCCAAGTGTTTCTGCTTATGCCTTTCTTCTGTGCCTCGAACACACGAGCCAGCGAACGAGCGCGCAAGTGGACGAAGGAGCGGGCACCAGAGGGAGTACGGAAAGGGAGGAGAAGGAGGAGGAGGAGGAGAAGGAGGAGGAGGAGGAAGAGGAGGATAGCATGACGCGCACAGCGCACACACATACAGTCAGACGCAATAACAGGGACGAGGAACGTTCCAAGGACGGCCTCGCGTCCTTGCCTTTTCGGCCCGTCCTCGGCCGCCTTCGCTTGCCAGCCTCTCCTGGATGCACCTGGGACTGGCGGCGTCCTCAGACTGCGCGGCGCGACAATTCGGCAAGGACGAGGCTTGGTTAGGTCACCTTTGCGTCCTTGGGATCAGTCCCGTGCGCGCTAAAAAAATTGACTTCGGCGTCCAGGGGTCTTGCGTCCTTACCGCGCGTCCTTATTACCATGTTTGTCTGTACGCACACGTGTTCCATCGCGATGGCGAGCGCCTGGAGGCAAACGAGACCACCGACACGGAGCAGGCGTTGGCGCACGCACGGGCGACAGGGAATTTCACCATATCGAGGTGGCAGATATTCGCGGCATGCTCTCGAGCATGAAGATGCTAGGATGGCGCTGTCACCGACACCGGCAAATTTGCAGAATCGGCCAATGGGCAGGTGCGCGGTTGTGAGGTTTGATGCGAGGCAGTTGCACGGTAGCCCCAGAACGGTAATTGGCGGGCATTGCAGTGCTGGCAAGATGTTTCGTACCAGTCGGTCCATGCGGCCACCGTGTTTGAGATGTGGGGCGAAGGGCGCACGCGGTTTTGCTTAATCAGAGTTCGCGATGAAGCGAGGAGGGATCTCACGCAAGGTGCACGCATGATGAGGCGAAGAACGGTATAAAGTACATGATTTGGCCGTAGGGGACGCTTGTCCCAGGGCGGCTGGGAAGTTTATACCCCTACGGTGGCACGTTAGGGTATAAACTTTCCAGCCGCCTTGGGACAGGCAACCCTGGCGACTGGAAGGTCTATACTAAACCGTTCTTCGCCCGCTAAGAGGAGGCGAGGACGTATATCATGCAACACAAACGTGCGAACCAGGTGGCGTGGAGCGACTGGAGCCCACAACGTATTCCTATGCATGTTCCCGGATGGCCCGCCCCAACGGAGGGTTTCGGGCTCCTGCGAGCTGCTTATCTCACTAGCTTGGCAGGGCTTTTTTGTGGGTCTCCTGGATACCTCTTCGGGCCTCCTGTTGTTCATCTTGAGTCTAGGGCGCCTTGGGGTTCTCTGGTATTCCTCTTGCTGATGTTCGGGGCCGTCTTGGGGTTATAATCCCACCTTTGCGCAATATTGGAGCCTTCTTGTGCCCCTCTTGGGGTCCTCGGGGCTCGTCTTGGGGAGACACCGGGGAGCGATTAGGCCGTTTCTGGCACGCTTTAGACCGAGGGCCGGTGTCCCTCCCGTGAGCCTCGCGCGTTCCTCCCGTGCCCGGCGCTTCTTGGGCTCAACGCATGCGAAACGCTGTTCCCAGGAGGTTTACTCCAGAAGTCGGTGACGAAGTCAGAACCCTACCCTCGCCGAGTCACGATTCAGGCAACTCGATGGGCGGTGGGGGTAGGGTTCGGAATTCGTGGAACTCGTGGCGAAATCCGAACCGTACCCCCGCCTCCCATCGATTCAGGAGAATCCATGGTTGGTGGGGGTAGGGTTCGGATGTCGCCACCCACTCATCCTCCTCCCTCGTCCTGATTCTGCGCCGCCCTCTTCCACCTCCCCCCGCACTGCGAGCACCGTGAGGAATGCATCGACAGGCATCGCTACGGGGGGATAGGCTCCAGGGGGGGGCATCGACCACGAAACGCTTATTCATCACCGGTACGGGTCTGATAGCCTACCCCGCCCAGGAACCTGCGGTTGGTTTAAACATTGTTTTGGGCTGAAGCACTGCACCAGATGGACCCTGGGAGGGTTCCCAGGGCAGATTTTGAGCGAATTTGGCTTCATGGGGACAATTCTATGTGGCCCAACTAGTTCAGACTCCCTGGCTGCCTCCAAGAGGACAGGAAATGGGAAAGGGGATGGAGAGGATGAAAAGGAGCAAATGTTATGGGAGGGTGTGAATTCCCCTCCCGCCCAATCATCCCCCCTTGTGAATGAATTCCCCGTCGCACCACCAGGCGTGTCCGTATGCCAGGTCGGGCATGACGTTAGGGATTTCTCTGCTATGTTTAGTTTCGAAGTATTCCAGCAGCTAGTACACGGATGAAGGGTGAATTGTTGTCAATATACGTCTCGTGTTTCGGCGCCGCACATATCCGACTTAAAACCCTCCACACAAGCACGGATTCAGATCCTTTGCTTTTCCAAATGCGGTTCTCGCCGTGTCGTCGTGCACATTCGTGACAAATGTTTCCAGCTACATGCGTGGAGGGCCAGTGGTTTTCAAAATGCGCTTCTCGCCTTGGTGCCGCGCACATTCGTTTTCAACGTTTCCAATAGTTACGCGGAGGATTCGGCACATGTTCAAAATTGGTGTATCGTTTGAGTTTTCTTCCAAACAGATCGCAAACAATGGAAAGTTGTGTAAGTTTTGCATTGGTGGAAGTCGGCTCCTTTTCGCTCATTTTCAAAATCGGGCTCCCGCCTGAGATGTCAGTTGATTTTACGACACGAAGTTAGAATCGGGTTGTCGCTTGACGCTTCCTTGAATCTTCAAACTGCACCTCGTTGTCATTCGTGAGCGCTCGTGAGATGAAGGTCCGTTTCCCTCAAAGCGGAGCTTCCGCCCGAATTGCGGTCCATGGGGCGCTCGTTTTGCAAGGCGGGCGCTTCGCGCAGTGAAGCTGAATGCTCCTCGGTACTGATGGGGAGGGGACTTGGGACGGGAGGGTGCACTGCAGCATCGTTGATGCATTGTGGATTTACCAAGGTCGTCGTCCTCCTCGTTCGCCTAGTCGTCATCAACTGTGCCTTCCCACCGCGACGAGTACAACGGATGGCCACTTACAACCGTTAGTGTTCTTCTGGGGCCTCACTCTGGGGGCCGGCGCAGTCTCAGCTCCTCACTCTGGGGGCCGGCGCAGTCTCAGCTCCAGTCGGCTTGTGTTCCACGGACTTCTTCGCCGCGAGGAGAAATGTTCGCCTCGGTCTCTGCCCCCCCCCTACAGCCGCCCTCCTTCAATCTCCCCTCTGCACTCCCTGCCCTCCCCCCTTCCGCCTCCCACCACCCCTGTCCCTCATCACTCCCTCTCTCCTCGTCCTCCTCCCTGTCGTGTGCATCGTCGTCGTCCCTCCAGCGAGGAGGCCCAGGAGAACGAGGAGCGAGAGTTAGAACGTCGCCGAGAAGACGAACGGGCGAAAGAGCGGCAAGAAGCGGAGGAGGCCGAACAGGACACTCTTGCGCCAGCCAGCACCGGCGACGGAGCGCCGCTGGACGAAACATCAATCGAGGAGAAACTAATTGGACTTGGGCGTAAGAAGGACGAGGCAAATGTGGATGACGAGGAGGAGGAGGAGGAATAAGAAGAGAAAGGGCGTGAGGAGGAGGAGGAGGAGAAAGACGAGAAGTAGATGTGGAGGATTAAGGCGGCGGGAGAACAGAAGGGAAATGAGGCGGAGAGGAAGAGGTAAAAGGAGCGGAGGAGGACGAAGGACAAGGAGGGATGGAAGGAAGAGTGGGAGAGGAGGAGGGGAAGAGGGGGGGGGAAGTCCGAGGGGAGGATGGTGAGGACGAGGAGGGAAGTCGGAGGAGGAAGACGAGCAGGAGGTGGAGGAGCAGGAGGAGAGCGACGACGACACCGAAGCGTTTGACGAGGAGGAGGAGGAGGAGGATCAGGAGGAGCAAGACAAGGACGACGCACGAAGTCAAGGACGGAAGCGGCACGCGGCTGAGCGCGGTGGGCCAGCTTCGCCCGAAGTATTCGCCCTCCGGCCCCGCGCGGCACTCTGTCTGGCCTGGCGAGGGACTGGGCGGGTCTCCAGCCACGGGGGCGCACGGGCGAGTTTGGTTCCATTATGGTTCCACGAGGGTCCCAGCGGCGTCATCGTCGCACCGGGCCCACCCGAAGGCCTGCGCAGCCCACGCCAAGGGCGCCTGCGGCTTCGAGGGCCTATGCCGCGGACTGCCCTCGAGGGCGAGGGGGCCCGACAGGCCGCGAGGGAGGCCGCCTCGCCGAGCCCTGCGGCTCGCCTCGGAATGGCACATGTGCAATCGCCCGCGGCACGCCCAGGGGCACGGGCGAGCCTGCCCGCGGCACGCTGTTCGTCAAGCAGTGGCGAGGCGCCCTGGCTTGCACAGACCCGCCACAGGATGTTCTTACAACCTCTTGTGGTTTGTACGAAATGTTCTTAGGACACTTCTGGCAGAGACCGTTCTGGTTCTTGTTCAAATCAATCGCTGCTATGCTCTACGAGTATTGTGCTTGCATTGCGAAGGCCTTACGGCCGGTGCCGCTGACTCTGAAGGGGAACGACGACAACGGCGGCGGCGGCGGCGGCGACGACGACGACGCTGACGTGGGTCAGAGTCCTCATGGATGCTTCTTGGGGTCTCTTCGCAGCCCTCTCTGGGGCCTCTGGGGGACAGTTTAGGGGCCTCTTGGAAGCCTCGTGGGGGCCTCTGGGCCGTCTTGGAGGCGTCTTGGGCCGTCTTGGGGCCTTTGGGGCGATCTGGCGGCGCTCTTGGGCCGTCTTGGAGTGTCGGGAAGCGGAAGGGACGAGAACGCTGAAATGCTTCAAACACTAATGAGAAATCATTGATTTTTCCATTTTGGGCCCTCTTGGAAGTGCGCCTCCAGGCCTCTTGGGCTGTTTTGCAGGGCTCTTGGGCCGTCTGGAGGCCGTCAAGGCGTCTTGGACAGATCGTTCGGCGATTCAGGGCCCTCTTGGACTGTCTTGGGGGCCTCTTGGGGCATTCTTGGCCCGTCTTGGGGCTTTTTTGGCTCCGGGACCCCCCAGGGGGGAGTCGTATCTGACCTGGGACCCCCCCCCTCTGGGATCCCCCCCCCGGGGGGGAGTCGCATATGACCCAGGACGACCCCGGCGGACCCCCCCCCTCCCGGCGGGGGAGGGATCAAAGGGAACGGGCTTCCCTTCGAGTCAATTACGACGTCGCTCAATTTTGCTTTGGCTGGCTCGCTTGAGGAAGAGGGCCTAGGGAAGAAGGGGGTGAGCGGCGACGGGCCCAGCGCTTGAGGAGGAGGGCCCAGGGAAAGGGGCGGGAGCGGCGACGGGCCCAGGGAAAGGGTGAGCGCAGGGAAAGGAGACGACAGAGACGACGACTAACGAATGACGGAGACGACGACTCGAACGGACAAGCCCCCCACACACGCCGACAGGGTCGGCGGATTTGGAACAGTCTTCCCTGCTCAATGGGCAGGGGCTCCTGCCCCAGCAGACATGTGCGAAATGTTACCCTCCGATTTGTCGAAACGCAAATGACGCAAACATAAGCTTCCAGAACTCCGCGCAGATCTCTTGGATCGGCGCTGGACCCCCCCTGGCGGCGCCTCCGGCGCCGCCACTGGTGCGTTCCGCGCGCCAGGGAAGGGGGGCCAGCGCGGATCTCCAAAAACACGCGCGGACCTCCAACCGTGTATGTTTATGCAGTTTTTTGTTGTTCCAGTTTGGTTTCTGGGACTGCTCTTGAGGGTGAGGGACTTGGCAGACCGCGAGGGGCACCGCCTCGCCAACTGCTGCGGCTCGCTTCAACATGGCACATGTGCAATCGAAGGAAGCTTCTGCACCTGTCCGAGGGGGGCACGTGCGAGCGTGCTCGCGGCACGCTGTTCGGGCCCCTGCGGCACCGACGGCGCCGTCAACGGGCGCTGACGACGCGGACGACGCGCCGAGCGGCGGCGCGCAGACCAGACAGGCGCTGCGCGAGCCCGCCAAGGGATGGGAGGGGCACAGCAGGGCTGAACCTGAACGGTGTTTGTCGTTTTCGTTTAGTTCTCGTTTTCCCTCGTTTTGTCTTCAATCCGCCTCCACCGCAAAACGAAGTCGAAGCGAAAACGGCCCACGAAATCGCCAAAACACCGTTTAGGTCCAGCCCTGGGGCACAGAACGCCGGGACGGTGGCGGGAGGGCCAAGCCCGGCCACCCCAGCGTTGGGGCAAAGCGGCCCCCCCAGCTCTGGGGGAGTTCCCTTCCCTCGGAGTGCCAGGCAGGGTGCGCACAGGGGCACGGCGACCAGCCCAGGTGCTGCTGGCGTGTGCCAACAGCGTGGTGTGAAAGACGCAGCGACGTGGGCACATTCAGCGAAGTGGGCGCGGGGCAGCGGCGGATGAGGTGGTCCGCGCTGCGGCCGAGGGCCCGCCAGACGAGCTCGGGGGCCTCGGTTTGGTTTCGTGGCTGTGATCGGGCGGTCGGCCTGTTGCCGCCGGCGGCAGCGGCGAGGGCTGCGGTGGGGCTCGCAACAGCCCGCGCACTAGCTGATGCGGCCTGAGTGGCCCAGAGACGTTCGACCAATTCTTGCCGCTCGGTTTGCTGATGCGCGGCGTCGTCCCGGATGCCGCGGACCTGACCCACGAGCCGAGCGGTGCAGCTCCTTGCCGCGCCAGCGTGGGTGCCTGTCGGGCGTCAGCTTCAGCCGCTTGCTGCGGGCGGGGCGGGGCCGGCCTGGGCTGAGGCGGCCTGTCGCCGCTCAGCGTGGCGGCCCTCGGGCCGGCGACAGCGTTCGGGAGCTCGCCGCTGCAGTGGCGGGGCCGCGGCCGCGGGGCGGCGCCTGCTGCACGTTTGGAAGCCGTCTTGGGGCCCAGGTCAGCCGCCGCAGCGGGCGGCAGAATGGCGGAGTCCGTCTGCGGGGGATTAGGGAGGGCTGAAGCCTTGAAGGAAGTTCTTCCAGTTGCGTCCCACACACCCCTCAGCCCAGTGGGCGGGCGGAGTCAAGGGGCTGACATCATTCCGCTGATCCCTGGAAGAGTGGATAAGTTCACGAAATTCGCAATTTTGAGGTAGGAATTGCAGTGACTGGTTTCTACGCGGGTCCGAGGGGTGGATTAATTATGAGTGCGGACATTTTGATCCTGGAGTTCGTTTGAGGTTTACTGTAACAGTTCTCGGGGCAGTTTGGGCGCTCTCGGCTTGGGGACCTTGTGGGCCCTGTTAGGGCCATCTTGGCTCTGATTAGCGCTGCCCCTCCAGAGCCAGAGACATCTGCTCCTTGGCACTATTGGGGCGCTCCTGGAAGCCTTTTAGGACCGTTTCGGGGTGTCTGCGGGCCCTTCGAGAGGCACTCTTGGGCGATCTTTCTTTGGGCCATCTTGAGGCCTCAGCGGCCCAATCTATAGGAACAGACGCACATGAAACACTGCGAAGTGGAGCCGCAGGAGAAGGGCAATCTACATGAACACACGAAAAAGCACCTAGATTCGTACTAGGAGCATACATAAAACACTTAGGATAGGAAACGCATGAAAACAACAGTCTATAGACACATACGTAACACAATAAGGATTCGTGCTCCAGGTGAGGCCCAATCTATAGGAGCCGTAAGCACATGGGATTGGAGCCGCTCCTGTGCCTATAATTCCTCCTGCTCCTGGGGCCTCTTGGGGCCTCCTGGACCCTCGTGGGGCTTCTTGGGGCCTCCTGGAGCCTCCTGGGGCCTCTTGTGGCCTCCTGTGGCATCCTGATACCTCCTGGTACCACCTGTGGCCTCCGTGCCCACGAGTCTGGCCAGCAAAATATGCAAACCCCTCGAGGCATCCTCAAAATCAGGCCCCCCTTTGGCGAAACTGAGCGCCTCGCTCGAGGCATCCTCCAAATCTGCTCCGAAAGCGGAGGATGTTGGGCCGAGAAACAGGCAAACCGCTCGAGACATCCCCGCCATTTTGGCGCGAGCGGAGGGGTGCAATACCCCTTGGCGTCTCCCCCTTGGTGGTGCTGAAGCCCGCTAACGTAACGACGCATGCCATACCGTATCATAGCAAACCATAGCATAACACATCATAATCTACCATATCATAGCATCGCATACCATTTCAAACCATAATATGCCATACCATAGCATAACATGACATACACCATAACATACCATATCATAGCATGTCGTGACATAACATAGCATGAGGAGGAGGGAGGAGGGATTATATGACCCTCGGAGCGGTCGGAGTAATAACAAAAACACCATCCTTTGGATATGGAGAATAACATACCACACCATAGCATAACATAACATAGCATGCCATGACATACTATAACACGACAAGATGATGATGAGGAGGAGGAGGAGGGAGAAGGTGAGAATCCTAGCGCTGTCGGAGTAATTTCAAGAACCCCACCCTTTGGATATGGGGAATAACAAGAACCCCATTCAGGGTACGTATGGGGGAACTCGCAATAGTACTATGAGCCGGAGCAATCATAGCATCAACGAAAGCACAGTGCAA